GTGGGATCTATGCTACTCTCCAAACCCAGACATTAGTTTACTGTCAGCTTCATTGTGCTCAGATGCTGTCGGTGCTTCGGAAACATTTACGGCAGGGGTTTAAGATGAGAAAGGCTGATTACTGTTAGACAACAGGAAACAGTCAGACCACTAAAAGAGCACAAATAAAAGTAACATCATAAAACCATGCAGAGACAGTCAGCTTTACCACAGGAGCTAATAAAAAAAAATGGGTAATTAGTCTGATTTTGGTTCACACTGTGGAACTCTGATCAGATAAAATCACAAAGTGTTGGATTTTTCCGACTCTACCATCCATGAGTCTCTCAGCTCTTCGTCATGGTGAGTGTTTCTCTGTTCTTCCTTCTGCATGGCTTCATCTCTGCTGAGCCGACCACCCCGCTAACGGCGGCGCTGCCCAGGCCCGCCTTTTCTTGGTACACATGCACCTGTTTGTGGGCTTGTGTCTTTACTTCTGCATTTGCGAGTGCCAGATTGTATATTTGTGATCATTCTTTTGGCGGGCAGGAGAGCGACATTAAAACCTGATCATCTTGCCAGACACAAACTCATAACGTGATGTGAGCCAATATTATATACCCATTCCAAATGGAGGTGGCAAGCTCTATCGTCTGCTGTTATGAATCAGATAAATAGTGATGAATCTCATCCTTTCATCTATTTATCACTTGATGACATCATAGAAATATTATGTCTATCACACCGATCTGTAGAAAGCATTTGCTGTTTTCCGCAGTAGGATTAACTATGTGAGATTTTCCTCTGAAAGCTGGTGAGGTGTTCTGCTACTACCAGAAGTGGCGTTTTCAAAATTCCTATTAGTCATGTTTGTGTAATTATAATTAAATAATCTAAACTAAAATCTAGACAAAAAAATAAAGTTAGCCCTGCATTTCATTCTTAGAATAAAAAAATCCCTTAAGTCATTCCACAGCACCAATATTCTATTGTTTACATTGGTTATAATATAGTAGTTTCGGGTGAGTTAACATTTCCAGTATAAAAAAGTATAAAAAAAGGAGAAATTATCTCCATATTATGATGCCGCCACTGTCTTTCTTATACGGTGGCCATTTTGTTATGCTCGATGCTGCTTTTTTTGCTAATGGTATTCCACTTGGGTTTTAAGTAATCCATAAAACATTTTCCTGCAAGGTTCAGAGATTTTTGTCAATATTCTCTGATATTCTCCTTCAGTTCAACTGTCACCCTATTGGCAGCCATTCTCGGGGCAATAATTGGGCAAATACCAGGGGTTTTGAAATGATATTTGGACAGCTGAGTCTAAAACTGAATTAGTGTCACCTGAGTGGTCACCTGATACTTAACATGTTCTCAACTAAATACAATATTCCCAGGAAAAAAGGCTCAAATCAGCTCCAGTTGGTCCTTGTTCTATAATGCAGTGTAGTAGAGAAAATGCAGCTGAATAAGGCAAGAAAATCTTCAGTCTCTGTGTTTGTTTTACTCTCTCTGAGAGACCAAGGCTAGCAATCCTTTGACATGGCCTCAACTTCAAAACAGTGATATTAAGCTTGTCATTCACCTGCCTTGCTTTTCAAAAAAGTAAGGCAATATTGACAAAATAACAGAAAGTCTACAAGGAAATACACTCTGTACAAATGTTTTGTGTTTATGTAATCAGGCAATTGATGGGAGGTTGGTTACACATTTAAAGTGATCCCTTTAATTTCATTGTTTATTAAAAAAGAAATATGTTCAGCCCACCCTTTTAGCAACGATTCCCCTCTAGAGTCATTATGCTTCCTGTCCAGAGGACAGAAATGGTCATCACGTGATAAACAGGTATGGCCGAGTAATTAGTGATCATATTTACTCTTGGGACTGATTGACAATAAATATCAGAATAAGGCTCAGCATTGTGGGTAAATATATACGGACTGGGATTAAGTCCTTGTGGTCAGTTTGCTCTTAGTTGAGATGAGTCATACAGTCAGATGTGGAGAGATTAATGCCACAATGGAGGAAATGAAGTAACTTTGATTTGCCAATCCTGCGGTAATGAAAAAATGAGACACTATTGCCATCATTACAATCATAGCTGTTTCAGTTTTAACAGTGTTTCTAGAATTAGTACTACTTTGAGTTTCAATAACTTAACTGGTTTACATTGGATTGTTTTTGATGGCTTTACTAAGTTTGACTGCATTTACTTAAATGTCCATTGTTTTTAATGTTTAATCCTGGTAATTCAAAAACAAAAAATAGCTTTAAGGTATTTTATCTTTTTTTTTTATGACAATATATACATCAGCCACTTTATTAGATTCACCTGCCAACACTAATTGCATACTAGCCACTAATCTGCATGTACATATGAAATTCAAACTGATTTCAGATGGGCTCAGAAAGAAGAGATAAACATGGCAGGGTTATTACTGGTCATACACCTGACTTTGGTGGATTGAGACATGATGTCCCAGGTGCTCTAAATCAGATTCAGGTCCGAGGAACGATGGGCCAGTCCATAGCTTCAACACCTTCATCTTGCAGGAACTGCTGACACACTCAGCCGCATGAGGTCTAGCATTGTCCTGCATTTGGAGGAACCCAGGGCCAACCAAACAAATCCCATCCCACACCATTACTGACCCACTGCCAAACCGGTCATTCTGGAGGATGTTGCAGGCAGCAAATCGCTCTTCATGGTGTGATCAGACTCTGTCACATTTGTCATATGTGCTCTATGTGAACCTGCTTTCCTCTGTGAAGAGCACAGGGCAACAGTGATGAATTTGCCAATCCAAGTGTTCTCTGGAAGATGCCAAGCCTATGTTTGGCTGTAATCACAACCCTCATCTGTGAATATTTGGCCCTCATGCCATCCTCATGGAGTTTCACATATTTTGCCAACATGCAAATTTGTGGCCTGTTGGTGGTCATTTTTCAGGGCTCTGGCAGTGCTCCTCCTGCTCCTCCATGTGTCAAATGTAAAATGTGGAGGTAGTAGTCCTGCTTGGTTGTTGCCCTCCTATGGCCTCCTCGACGTCCTGTGGTGTACTAGCCTGTCTCGTGGTAGTGCCTCCAGCCTCTGGACACTACGCTGACAGACACAGTAAACCTTCTTGCCACAGCTCATAGTGATGTGTCATTCTAGATGAGCTGCACTACTTGTGTGGGTTGTAGAGTCTGTCTTATGCTACCATGAAAGCATGAACAACATTCAAAAGTGACCAAAATATCACCACCCCTGTATTGAGTGTATCTAATCATCATCTCCACCTGTTGTCTATTCCATTTACACAATAGCATGTGAAATTGATTGTCAATAAGTGTTGCTTCCTAAGTGGACCGTTTGATTTCACAAAAGTTTGATTTAATTAAAGTTATAATTAGTGTTGCACCGATACCGATACCAGTATCGGACGGGGCCCTGATACTGCCCTAAAATGGTTTTATCGGTATCGGCGAGTACCAACAAATAGGGCGCCGATACCATTTTGAGAGTCAAAAGTTTATTCAACTATTGTCACCCATTCCAGGTAGGCAATAAAAAGTTCTATTGGATTCACTTTGTATTAGATTTTGTCCTGCTTCACAAAGGTAGGCAGCAGCTTGACAAAGCCATGATGGCAATTATTTTACATTATTATGGTAACGGTATCGGTCGATACTGCACAGCCAGGTATCTGGTATCGGTATCGGGGCCAAAAAATGGCATCGGCGCAACGCTAGTTATAATGCATTGTTTACATTTTCCCTTTTATATCAGTTTATTTTAGAAACTGCTGGCTGCTTGGATTTTATGCATGAGAATATCCTTAAATAAATGTAACCATCCAGCGAAACAGGTGTGTGAAAATATAATCAAGAAAGAGATGCTAGGCAGTTTAGACCAGCTAAAGCTGTCATCCTCACAGATGTAGAACACTTCTGAACTTGAGACAGCAAGGGGAGCCACTCCTGGTGTCGCTCTAAAGGCTTCACAAGCAAAAATGAATCTTTAATTCAGATAAACTGACTACATTCCATCATCTACAATATAAGGTGTTGATTGGAGCATTTTAGCTGATGTTTCTCTCCTGTGAGGTGTCAAAGCTAACAGAAACCGACTACATGAAGCAACTATGGTGAGAAAAAGCAGAGAAAATGTAAAATTAGGGGTTGAACAAATACTGCAGAAAGGGAGGATAGAGGTGAAATGAAGCAGTATGATGGAAAGTGGTCCCTATTACTAGCTTCAACATTTGCTCTGTACTAATAGGTTAAGCTGATGGTGGTGCTGGCTTAATGATGTATGGCTGTCTGCTTAAAGCACAGCCTACCTGACCAGGTCCTTCTGGGCTCAGCAGCCAGCACACCTCAGTCCAGTGGAGCCTCTCAGGGAGGGGACATTTTCCTTTGGCCTCTATAGATTTAACTGATGAACTAAAACAAAGAGTTTTCCTGTAAGTTGGTATTTCACATTAGAATCGTACTATAAAGGGCATCAGGGAAAGCTTTAACCAGTAAAAGGAAGGAGGGCATTTCCAAAAGCAAAGGATTAAAATTATGTCTTCTGTTCGGTTTGCTTCCCTTATTTTTTGTTTGAGGATTTAAATTTTTGATTTTATTTCCTCTAATGTAAAAATGGCTAACATTTGAAATCATTTTTGCATAATATTTATTTTCCTTTATTGAAACCTTGTAAGTATTGGAGCTTGGCCTCCTTTAGACATTCTTTTCTGATGAAACACCTTCACTGATTCCTCACTGTACCTGTACAGGCCTGCACAGGCTGGCTTCCTACACCGAGGCATTTGGAGAAGACTAACACAACCGACATAAACCCACCGACATAAACCACTCTTCAGCATTTTATTTTTTTGCAACATAATGAAGAAGATTATTAAAGTCTGTGCAGTTTTTTTGCTCCCCGAATATCTTGGATCTGACCAAAGTTTTATCTCTCAGCAGTTTCTATTTTTCTGCTTCTCTAGTTCATTGCCTTAATTTTTCCTTGTGTTTGGTTGTTGCAGAGCCTGGTAGGAGCGTGATGAGCGCGCGCTTCCGCTTGCCTGCTGGCAGATCCTACAATGTCCGGGCGACGGAGCTGGAGCGAGACAGGCAGCACACACAGGTTGTGTGCAACGTGCTGCTGCTGGACAACACTGTGCAGGCGTTCAAAGTCAACGTAAGTAACCTAGCATCTGAAATGGATAAAAAGGACGTGTTACTATTTCAGATATTCACACCATCCAGACTCCAACAATTAGTTTTGCTTCACTGTCCTCTTTAAACAATTACTTTCCCTTTTGCCCTTTGCAGCTTTTTCTATTTAGCCTTTTTCCTCTACTCAACTCTATAAGCAGGCTTGGATTTTCCTTAGAAACTTAATGTTGTTGTTTTGCCTGTGTGTGCTGGTGGCTGGTTCCTTCCCCTTTAAGACACTGCAGCATGTGTTTAATCACAGGACTCCACCCATCCAGTCAGAACCGTAAACAGAGAGAATGGTGGATGAGCCCAGTGAAGAAGCGTCTAACACAGCTATAAACACAATTACATCAGTTAACCCTGTGGAGCCAAGCGAGAGCAGAGATGAAGCTGAGCGTGCAGAGAAGAAGTCAAGAGCGCGTTGTCAGACCTAATTCAAACTTTAAGCAAGTGTTTATGAGTTTAAACGATGCAGATTGTCTTCACTGCATGGTCAGTTCGGTGGCACAAAATGGCTCCATAGGCGTTGAGCAAAAGAACACGAAATGTAAAATGTAAAGTTTGTCCAACCTCATCACCTACGGCGCAGCCGCCCTGTTGAGTTCGGAGATGTACAAAAGGCTCCATTACCTTTGCGCAAAAACATTTGCAAGAGCGGAAATATTTTTCTCTTGTTCAATGAGACATTGTTGAATGTTTAAACTTGAATGGTTACTTCATTTCATTGAAAGTAATGCGTATTGTGATTTGATCAAAAATAAATCAGAAATAGATGAGTTGCATTTTTTGCACATGCCTTTATTTTCAGATAGAGGAGACGGAGCATTTATCATTATCAAGGTAAAAGTGCACAATTTATTGTGATATTGATTTGAGGTCATGTCGCCCAGCCCTAATACAGTACTCTATGAAAAGCCTACTTCAGTAGGAATAACCTTTGGTGTCTGTCCCTTTAAAGCCTGTGACTTTCTGCTGTCTGACTTTCTATTAACAGTCGAATCCTGCAGATCAAAACAAAAACATGGTCTGTAGTTTTTTTTAATAAAAATCTTAGTATATATTTTTTCCTCTGCAATAGCAACTGAAATCTGGGATTTGATTAACTGTGAGCCATAATCATAATAGTAAATGGTTCAAATAGCAGAATTAGTTTTCCTTTTACACCGATTTATGTTATTACCACATTAGGGATGGGACGATTTATGAAAACCGTCCGAACCGTCCGGTTTGACTGTCTCAGTTCGATTCGCGTGTGTTTCGTTCGGTTCATGCGCTGCTCCTTTTTCTCATAGGCGAAGCATTTACACTCCAGAGCAGAAGGTGGCGGTACTGCGACCAAAGCCAACCACCAGTAGTAAACAAGAAGAAGCGAAGCAGCGTAGCCGGGTGTAGCAGGGAAAAAAATCAGTTGTTGTGGAGAATTGTGTCGGAATGGCGAGTGGGAAAGAACAGGAGTTTGAAGACGCGCCAGCAGCACTTTATAGGTCTGCTGTATGGGACCGCTTTGCATTTAGAGTGACCTACAATGACGGCGGAAAGAAAGTTGTGGATAAAAGTGCAACAGTGTGCAAGCATTGTGCAACCCGTTTTGTTTATGCTAACAGCAACATGACCAACATGTCATGCTAACCCCGAAATCCCACATACTCCGTCAGCAAACCCCGCTCTGCCCCGCTGCGCTCCAGACCGCCTGCTCAAAGCAAAGCCTACAGCCCCCACTGTGGCTCCCATCCGCTCCCCTCTGAGTCCCTTGGAGAACGTAGAGAGCATGCGCGAGATGATTAAATTCAAAGCAGCAAAACATACGGAAATGATCCAGGGTTTCTGCGGATCATTTAAAATAATTACAATCCATTATTTTTTGGGTTTTTTTTTTATTAATTTCATAAATTTTTATGGGATTTCGGTGTAACAATCAACATATACCGAATCGAACCGAACCGAAAACCGTGACCAGAAACCGTGAATCGAACCGAACTGTGGATTTTGTGAACCGTTCCACCCCTATACCACATGTATCATGCTTGATTATATCTGGCTGATAATAAAAATCTGTTTGAAATGCTTTTTGGATATTTACTGGGTATCTTAGCTACTCATTTATCTTAGCTTTACCAAACATGCACACACTCAATGTCAAACCCTTTTTTTTCCCTCCCAAAGTTCTCCTTCCTCTTCCTCAGAAAGTTCTCCTTTAAACCTGACTTAAACTAGTTTAAAAGTTGGTGGGGAAATGGTGCCATCTAAAACCCAACCCACGTCATCTTCTCCATCCATATTTAAGTTTAGGTTAGGGCTGCAACTAACAAATATTTTGCTAGTCAATGAATCTGTCAATTATTTTTCAATAGTTCAGTTGCTAATCAGTTAGCAAGAGGATCCTTAAAGAAGAACTTTTTCAGAATTTAAACCTAGTGAAACTAAAACTTTTCCACTTGAGGGGTTCCGTGTTGAACATGTTGACAGACATCCTAAATGCACTTATATATATATATATATATATATATATATATATATATATATATATATATATATATAACAATTTTAGCATAATTACTGCTCTAAGTGGGTTGTTCTTTCAGCTAAAGGTACATTTTAGAGTCTCTAAATTAGTTGATGTATATTTTAATACTCGATTAATCACAATTAATGGTTTCAGTTCTAACTTTAGATGTATTCTATCCTATTGGCAGACGTGTCTCATCATGAGTCTGTTAGCACTGAGAGCTCAAATGGGCCGAAAAAGGAAGTGACTAATAAACTCATGATTTAAGTTACAGTAGTTTTTCTCGGCTGTTGTGGGATACTTGTGGGTCATTGTCATGTGTTCAGTCAGATATACATCGGTGGAAATTCCCTTTGTGACAAAAGATATGTTCCTTCTTCACAGACCACATCCTTATTGTGTAGGGAGAAGTGTATTTATGTTTTGTCACATTATTGATAGAAGTACAGGGGTGTTTAAATAGATGGTCGTCAGAGCTGTTCAGTGATTGCTGCTTTTCTGATCTTCATTATGTTAGGTTTAATCAAGAAGAACTGCTACAGTTTTTTTTTTATCTTAGACAGCCCTCTTGGCATTAAATCAGAAATGATCAGTCTTTAGTTGAAACTAAATGCCCTTAAATACTCTAATATAGGTTCTCAAAGATTTTAAAAGTAAATTCATCTCTAAATATTGCAAATTATTATTTTTTTACTCATCAGTGTTATGTATTTAGAATAAATTAACCAAAATTAAGGAGAAGTGATAGTGAAACAAATGTAGAGCAAGAAGTTGTAGAAGCCCCAAGACAGAAAAGTAGAACCCAAACTGTTTCAGTTGTCTTAACATAAATATGACGCTTTCATGGCAAACCGCCGTGCCATAGACGGGCTCCACTCCACTGTAAACCCAAACAAGGGACAGAACGGACCCTGGAACTTAATCCAGACCCAGAGCACCACAGGCAGGATGAGAGGAGGCTATGCAGAGGAATACGTCTGAGTAGATGAAGAAAATAAAAGTCTGCCCGTATCTCATCCTCAGCAGTGAGGAGGTGCAGACGCCTCACCAGAGTAGAAACAGTTTCTCCTTCAAGCTTTTTTTTTTATTTTTTAAATTAACAAAATTCTGAAGCAATCTTGTGTTTGGTCTGAAAATCCCAGAGAGGGACCAGACTGAGACACTAAAAGTGTACATTGTTTTTATTTCATTTTAACGGCTCAGGACCAGCAGTATGAACACGCCGGTGAAGCACAGAGCTGTAGCTTTATCTCTAATGAATATGCACAGGTGGACGTAGTATATTTAAAGACTTTTGCATGACAATGTTTATTTCTAGGTATGGCAACGTCCTTCACACAGAGCAGTTCAAACTTTATTTCAAGAAAAAAATATCTGGCCCCTACTAAAACAGCTGGTCTCTTTGTGGAAGGAAAACCGTTTGTGATGGGATGATCTGTGGAAATTAAATCTTCCACTGAACAGTGTGGCCTGCATTTAAACTCAGTCAACACTGTGTTCTGTCTGTCAATTAGGTGTGTGAGAAAATAATCGATTCAACAGTATTGTTATTAATTCAGAATTTGGTATTATAAAAAATATTCATAGGCAAACATCTGTTCCATCGTTTTGCTTTTATATAACTGTTAAACCTCCAGCCGCTAGTTAGCAGTGTACCGCTAAAGTCAGTTTTATTCAGCTGCAGCAGAGCAACATGATTTGGTCAGGTTTTCTACTTTTCTATTATTATAAAAGTCGTAATAAATCTTTGTTAATGTATTGTGATAAATTATATCATGACACCCATATCATGATTTAGTCATATGGGCAACTTTTTGCCATTTCACACCCCTGCTCTCCAGTCTGTATTTTCAATTAGAATGGATAAACCATCGGACTGTGTTTAAGCTTTAACAAAGATTTTCAAAAGGATTAATATCTGAACTTTGACCAGGCCCTTCTGACAATTAGATAGGCTTGGTTCTCAGCTAGTGTCGCTCTGTCTGCATGTTTAGGCTCCTTGTTTTACGGGAAGGTTAACCTCTGCCATCCATCTTGATGATAAGGAGCATAATGCACCTGTTGGATTTAACTGAGAGGATGATGCGGTTTCGGTCACTTGATGATAGATAGCCCTGTATACAATGTTTTTATAACTCATCAGCACTTTCACTTGTGAAGGGAATATTCAGCGTATTCCTTTTACTTCACATAAGCTAAATTCAGGGCTGTGCAAAAAAACCCTAAACCTAACAGTTTGTTCTGTTAGAAAATAGATCTGATAGAAAGTTCTATAATTTTACAATTCAAAATCAGCCTTTTTTCTAATTGGTAAATGAAAATTAATCAATACATATTAATATTGACTGAAATGAAAGCTAAAGTCCACTTCAGTCATTTAAATACATTAATTCCCAGTGTATTTCATTCTAATTGGTGATTGTAATGCAAAATAGAATAAAGAAGTTTAGATGTGGTCGATTCTTTCCCAAGAG